TCATAATGCAGATCCATTTTTAAATTTCTGAGGAAATGCCATACTGTTTTCTACAGTGGCTACACCAATCTAGCAATTTTTTTTTCTCTTTTTAGCAGCCAACATTTATGGATCCCAGGTCCTATGTGCTTTACATACCTTATTTCATTCAATCCTCAACAAGTCCTTGAGATGATAGGAGGCTGGTTTCCCTACCTCTATTCTTGGCCCCTTAACAGTGAACCATTACACAAAAAAACCTCCCCAAAACAGTGAACCATTACACAAAAAATTACCCGCACCTCCCATACCCTGTACATTTTTATACCTGTTTGTTGGGACTTTCCGTTTCCCAGCTTGAAACCATTAAAATATTAAGACACAGGGGTCACACAAATGAACATCAACCAGTTCCTTATTTTCCCTTTGCCAAAATAAGATTTTATTTTAAAGTCATTTGAAAGACACTAAGACTCAATGGATATTGATCCCAAATTCATGTTCCGTCCAACCTCCCATCAATGGTCTCTGTCATAAGCCATTTTCTTTTTTTTTTTTTTTTTTAGAGTAGAGCTTTATTCCCAGGAAATAGTGTATTTGTTGGAGATGGGTATTTTTTTTTTTAATCAAGGTTGTTCTAATATGTTCAACAAAGTGAGGGGGCTCAGCCCGAGGTGGAATGGAACGGTTCTCTAGTATTTGCTTATCATCTTGCTGCGACCAGGAATCCACATGTGGAAATGGCACCCAGGAATCCGGTCCTATACAAAGTTGTTCTGTCTTTGCATCGTAAATTCTAACCATTGGTCCCCCTGTTAAAGCTCGTGCAGCACGCTCGCAGCTCCTCCTCCGGGCCGCGATCTTGGCAGGAGGCTCTGTAGATCTCTGCAGTTCTAACGTTGACAGCAATGCCATAAGTGATTGGAAAGTGGTTTTCGTTTTCTTCGCGGCCATTTAATTCTGTCACACATAATGTCACTAAGTGAATGTCCTCGTCTAGTCTGTCAAATTCACTAAGAAGTTGATGAGGAAGACTTTGTGACAACTGCCAATTGTCACTGAAGCCGCCCATGGGGTGCACTTCCAACCTTCCACATTGAGCGTGGTCGGAAAAGGATTTTATGGAGCTCATGGTCAAGGAGACCTCAGCTTCGGTGTCAGTGTCCAGCAGGTAGCCCCATTACCTCCAGAAGCCGGTGGGCTCGGACGAGGTCCCCAGCGGACTGCGGCAGCCCCACTCACCAGCCCTCAATCAGCAGCGGCATCGTGGAAACGGTGGCCCGGAAGTCCAAGGAGGCGTCCGCCTCCCCCGCCCTAGTTACTTTTATCATTAATAAAATCTATCTATCTATATGTGGTTTAGATTTAAGGCCAAAACTGTGCTAACACCTTACCCTAGATTTAGGTAGCCTTGGGCGACCTTGAATCACTGACTCGGTGTAAGAGGCACAAGCCTGCTCCTCTTGGAGACCCTTTGCCACGTGGCAGAGAACAGAGCAGAACACCCACTCTCTCTGGTAGGCTGCGCTGAGAGGCCAGGAAGGGGGCTAAGGTGAGCATCCTGCCTCCCACACTCACCATTTACGCAGTCCTACTCTGGCAGCTCTGTGCAGGATAGATGGGGGGCCATAAGAGAGACAAGGTGAAAGGCAATTGTGATGCCAATAGCACTGCATCCTCTATGAAAGGAGGAAAAGACTTCTGATGGGGCCGAAACGAGATGTGTTTTCTTGCCTTATTAAACTGCTTGACTCTGAGATGCTCGAGCATATATTGGGCTCCTGGATCTCAGACAAGAGGCAGCATCTCTTTGCCCAGGTTTATAACTGCTCATTTGGAGACCATTGGCTGCTCCTTCAATCTTATGCCCTTTGGAACTGTTCTTTCCTATGGTAACTTGTTCTTGGTCAGGAGGCATCAGCAGGTTCATTACATTACACGATGGCCAGCTCTCAATGGGGAGGTAGGATGGAGTGGAAAGAACACAGGGATCAGACAAAGAAACCTTGCTCCAGGGTCCACCTCTGCCCCTGAGGTAGGTTGTTGCAGGAATACTACCAATTTGTTCAAGCCTCACTGTACACACTCCCTTTTGAAATGGGACTTCTATAAAGAAGTTGAGCCTAGTTTTCTACGGCTTTAATCTGGCCTCGGTCATGCTTTGGTAAACATGACAAAGGCAGAGGATTAGAAAGACCTTGCACATTGGGTTTTGCTCTCTCTTGCTCCTGGGAATCCTTCTGCTGGAACGTGAACAAGTCCAGGCTAGCTAAAGAATGAAGCCAGGTGGAGGGAGCCTCCAGTTCTCTCAGAGGGGTATTTCCCAACACCAGCAGCCATTTCTGTGATTCTGTGAACACCAGCTGGCTGCTGAACCATTCAGTTCAATTGTGAAACTAGCTACCTACCCCGATTTAGTGCAGATTCACAGCTTAATTAAGGACTCAGTTCCACAAGACTGCCCTCCCGAACCAGTTGCAAGTTCCTGGCCTCCCACACTTCTGACTGACTGGCTATAAGTCAGGGGTTCCCATGACCCCCTCCTAAGACTTGACAGTTTACTAGAATGGCTCATGAAACTCAGGTAGATGCTTTCCTTACATTTACTGGTAAAGAACACAAATGAACAGCTGGATGAAGCGATAGGTAGGGCAAAGTCTGGAAGGGTCCCAAGCACAAGTGAGTGCTTCTGTCCCTGTAAAGTTGGGGTGCACCACTCACTCAGCATGTGGATGTGTTCACTAATTAGGAAGCTCAGCAAATGTCATTGTTCAAGAGTTTTTTATAAAGCTTAATCTCTAGGCCCACCCCACTCCCACTCCTTCTTGGAGGTCGGTGAGTGGGGCTGAAAGTCCCAACCCTCTAATCATTTGTTCTTTTGGGGACCAGACCCATCCTGAAGCTCTCCATGGATCCCTTCTCAAATCACCTCATTATTATAAACTCAGGTATGATATTAAGGGGCTCATTATGAGTAACAAAAACACTCCTATCACTCCGGTTTTAGGATCTTTATGCCAGGAACTGGGGCACAAATACCAAATATATTTCTGACTATACCACTTCCTCTCATTCTTTTTGCATTTCCAGCTTAGACTCCAGGTAAGTAGTGAGGCTACCCTAGACAATTTGGTTACAGAGAAGTATCATCATTTAAAGAATCATTAGCCAGGCACAGAATGGTAAAAAATGGAAAGCATTTGCTGTTATAGTCCACCAAGTTTGAAGGTAAGCTTGTTACATAACAAAAGCTGACTAATATAGCACCTTATCAGCTATGAAGACAACGGAAGAAAATAGTTCTACTAAGAATGTGAGAAACATTGTTGTTGTAATTCAGAATGAATATAACCTTGAGCTTCCTGAAAGCTAAGGCAAACAAAAACAATGGGTTATGGAGTTCCGGTTATTTGAGAAAATAAGTATATAAATTCTGAAGAGGTGACCTTTTGATGTTCAAAAAAGGAATAAATTATACTTTAGTATTAAAGAGATACAAAACACCATAATATATAAAAGTGTTTTCACATTTATAAACAAATAAAAAAATTTCTTCATGTGACTTTCTTACCTTAATTCTCAGTATAAGTTCAGATAATCCAATATGTCATAGAAATTCAGCTTATTAAACCCTAAAGGAAGGAATGATCAACATGTCCATGCAACTGACTGGAATGTTTTAAAACATACTTTTGGAAAGAGCTGTGTATGAGGATAAGTCCTTAGATGTGGAAGGATTTTATTTCTTAAACCCCCTTGCCATTCTTTTGTAATACAGACAATCTTCATAGAATATAAATTCCCCTTATTTAAATAAACTTGCACTTGGGTGAAGTGAGAGTCTGAATGGGTTATTTACATTCTTTTAATTTAAAAAGTTGTGAATGTATTAATAATAAAATGTGAATGTGTGGGGAAGCATGGGGCTTGGTTGGAAAGTGTGTAAGGAAGATTTTGCCAAAGGTGGCAGCCCCTGCCTTGACTTTTCCAAACAAGTCTGAGCCCCTGAGTGTTTTGCTGGAATCTCTGTTTAGTCTTTTAGACCCGACCTTGTAGAATCATGTGCTTTCTCAAGGACACTTATCCTGCTGATTGTATCTTAAGGTCAATTTTAGTTCAAGCTGTTGTTGCAATAAAAGCTCAAAGGAGGCAGGCAATTGGGGCTGTTTTGGTACCTCCTGCCAAGCAGCCCCTTAGCCTTCTCTTTCACAGAAACATGTGTCAGAGTAATCCATTCATCTGTCACTCAGGGTCTGCTGGTATTAATAATAAAATGTTCACCACAGGAATGAAATTTAAACTTCAAAGTTCAGCTTTGATGGTGCTATTTTCATCATTATCAATTGCTCACATTTCCTTGATCTATGTGTTACTTATTGAAATCAAACTATGAGTCATGTGCTATGCTATGTGCTGTACATGTATTAATTTATACAATCCTTTCCACAGTCCTAGAAGGGAGATATTAAATGCTTATGCTTGTTCTGTGTTCTATCCTGGCCTCTTAAATGGCCCCTCTTACAGGTGCAAGCTTCCACTGAAACTACATGAAAATAGAATGTCTCAAATCAATGAGAAAAGTTTTGGTAAATGCTGTATTTAAACACAGATCAAACTACATCTTTACCTCACATCTTTTTATTTTTTATTCTCACCCAAGTATATGTTTATTGATTTTAGAGAGAGAGGGAGAGAGAAACATCAATGTGAGAGAAACATTGATTGGTTGCCTACCAGCAGCTTCCTGACCAGGAATTGAACTTGTAACCTTTTTAGTATTTGGGACCATGCTCTAACCAACTGAGCCATCTGGCCAGGGCCTTACCTCACATCTTATACTAAAATAAATTTTTGAAAAATTTAATCAAGAATTAAATGTAAAATTAAGCCATAAAAATTAGGTGATTTATCTCAGGATAAAGAAGATTCATATCTCACAGCAATTAAGCAAGTTACAAAGTAAAATATCAATAGGAAAGTAGCTGAATATTACACTGATGCTTATAATTTCTTTCCCACAGGAATATAAACAATATTGGACAGAGTTGAGAGGAACTACCCTTTTCTTTTATAATGACAAAAAAAGCACAATAGTAAGTAGTTAAACATGTTCAGCTGATTCATTTTTTCCACCAATATACACTTGTCATGTAGTTTATTATTTATTTGGGATTTTCTGTCTTTTAAGGGTAAAAATGTTGTAATAAAATCAATTCAAATAAGAATATTTCTATCTGCGAGGGCTATTAATTATAAAACCTATGGTAATAAATTTCTGGGCAACTCGGAACAAGGTATTAACTCATATTTTAAACTTTGCATTCTTTTCTTTCTGATCCCGAGTAGAATACTTGGTTGAAAAGTGTAAATTTTAGCTATTCATCTGGACACAATTGCTTAATGCCAAGGGATAACCTTAATTTCCTTCCTTGTTGTCATGTGCAGTTATAATCTGAAAGGAAATAGATGATCCCTAAAGCTTAACAACATACAATATGTCACTATTTTTTTCTGGAAAGACAAAAGCATACCTCACCAAACAGGACTTCTAAGAGCTCAAGCATGAGAAAAACAATGAAGAGATTATGACATTTATTTATTTATATTAATTTCAAATAATTGATTTGTATTTTAATTTTTCCACATACAAAAATTGAAAGGTGACTGTATTTCATTCCCCACACACACAAATAAAATGCATTTTAGTAGCAAATGGTTGCCTACCTTGAAATGCTATGCTTATAATAGATTTTATGACGCTGTAACTTGTTTAAATAAAAACATTTTGGACCATGGATGTGGTTGCCTTAAAATGTCATTATTACATATCCAGATCTTGTGAAAGAAACAGAAAACGAGTCTCTATTCCACCTGCAGGCATTTCAGCACCATTAGTGGTAGACTAACCAGAAGTTATTAAAAAAGAAAATAGTTATCTTTCACCAGAGTTCTGGATAGATAAGATTTATATAAAGGTGTTTCCAAAACTGTAATAAATTTTAACAAAACTAATTTCTCTGTTTTGCCTTCCAACTTCTCACTGATGTCAGTGAAATTATGAAGGCCCTGTACTAGCCCTTGTATAACACACATTTTGAGTGAGAAAGTTAATAGTTATTCTTCACCATAAGAGGCAGTACAGCTTAGTGATAAGAGCCTGGTCTTCAGGTAGTTTTACCTGGGTTTTTATCCTGTTCCTGCCCTGTTCACTCTGCCAACTTGGTCTCTTGGGCTACTTAACTAACCTCTCAATGTCTCAGTGTATCAGACAGGGAACTGGTAGGAAACAGTTGATATCTCAAATTGGGCAATTTGAAGAGAGTTTAATAAAGATGCAATACTCAAAGCAGTGGCCAGGATGTAGAAAAACCACAAAGGTTAGTACAGAACCCTGAGACTAGTAACAGTGCCCCATTACCATGCCAGGGTGTAAAGGAAAGAGAGAATAGTGGGGAGAGTTATATGAAGATGACTATCTTGAGAGGAGTATGCTCTTGGATTGAGGAAGCAATTGCATAGAGTAATAAATACTTGACTTCACTCTCTTCACTCTTCTATCTTGTGCCAATGTTCAACTGTCCAACCCAGCAGGAAATCAAAGGGTAAGTGTGCCCATAATGTTGTCCACATAGGTTCCTACTATGGTGCACAGTGTTGGGTGATGAAGGGATAAAAGTGAATCTAGAGGAGCAAATAAAAGATCTCCAACACACTCAGTTTCAAATCTCTAAATTTAGGATAAAAAACAGCCTATCTCATAAGGTTATAAAAAGGATTAAATGAGATATTAAATGTAAGGCACATAGTGAGCATTCATGCATTTTATTTGTATTATCTGATTTAATTCTCACAACAAAAATGCAAAGTAGGTACTATTTTAATCCCCACTTTATAGAACTGAATAGTCAAGTGTAAAGATTAAGAAATTGTACAAGATCAGACAGCTAATGCAAGGGGTACAATCCAAGTCTTGCTCCTGAGATAGCATTCTTAACTACCATGCCATGAAGAGACTGTTATAATAAAATGATGCAGAATTGCCGATCTACCAATTGCATTAAAAGAGGATGCAGAATTTTGGGAACAAGAGAAATCACAGGAGTAAAACAGGTGAGAACTGTAGATATTCAGCCTATGATCGGGAAGAATTTATAGCTGCATTTAAGTATTTGAAAGGCTGTCAGGAGATCATATGAAAGAGTCACCGAACTTGTTTAGTGTTAGTGCAAAGGTTAGTACAAAGAGACTAAGATTAATGGATGAAAATTGCCTAAAGGAAAACTGTGGCTTAACATAAGAAAAAAAAACCCAAAAAACTTGCTGACAGGCAAAGCTGCATAGATGCATAAATTCCATGTTTGAGATGTTCAACATAGGCTAGATGACCACATAGAGGGATAGCCTGGGGATGATTCAAGCATTGGATAGTAGCTGGATTAGACAGATGACCTTAAAGGCTTTTTTCAATGTTACAATTAAAAACAAAAAGATATGACTTCCTTTTTTCTAATCAATAGATCAGCTTACAGGCACTCTATCTAACTGGGCCACTTCTTCCTTTGTTGCTTCCTCTGTCTCAGAAAAATTCACTGAGCTTAATCTAGACAATCCATCAGAAAAAGATTCTTGTGTAATTTTAAATTCTGTCCTCCTTCCCTTATACCTCTCCTTCTTTGTTTAATGTATCTTTGTTCATTGAAAATAAATAGGCCAACCCAAATGTAACCTCAACTTTATCAACATAGAAATAACTCTGAGAATTATTTACTATTTTTATGTCCTACTTTATTCAGAAAAATAATATAAGTCTTATAAGAATATAGTAAAATAAGTTATATTAGGCATAGTGGAGAAAAATAAAAGGAGAAAAAATAAAGTCAAGAATGAGGTTAATTTAGCAAAAAAAATTATACCATAAAAACCCTACTACCCTCTCTAGAGGTGGTCTTAACCTTTCTAATACTAGAGAGTAAGTCTGGCTAGTTACATACAAACCGGGCCATGTTGACTAATTACTCAGAAGAAATATTTTTATTGCACTGCAATAAGATAGAAATTTCTTAATAGAATCCTCATAACCAGTAGTATGTGGTAAGTGTTGAATAATGGCTTCCTGGAAAAAAATATATGAATATATGTATATAAATTTATTATAAATATTACTTACATAAAGAATGCATAGCACAGTTAAAATACATAATAATCTTTATTCTAATTTTCAAATAAAGCAGTTGATTCTCATAAAATGTTTTTGTTAATTTTTCTGAATGCATATCAGAATTGCAATTCAATCCTGATATAACAAATGGAGTTGTTTTCTAATATGCTATTTTCCTAATAAATTTATTGTCATTAAATATGATATCTGACATTGTTGGCTAATATTTTTGTTTACATTAATAAGTAAGAGGAAAGTAAGACAATTATGTATGTCAGAACTTCACCTACTTTTCAATGACATGAGCCACCTGTTTGTTGAATAACAGTCTTAGAATTATAGAATAATATTTTGTTTTTTGTTCAAAATAAAGTTTCAGATACAACAAACTTTAAAGTTTCATTTGCATTATTAACATTTTCTCCTTCACTTTCTTAAGTCTAGACCAGACCAGAAAACTATAGCCTTTCAGCCAAATCTAGCCTGTGGCCCAATTTTGTACATTCTATGAGCTAAGAATGTTTTTACAGTTATAAAGTGTTATAAAAAAATTTCCAACAGAGACTTTTTGTGGTCTACAAAACCCAAAACATTTACTACCTGGCCTTTGAAGAAAAAAATTGCTGGCCTCTGGGTCAATTAATAAAATAATAAATCAAGCCCTAATTTGTAAGGTTTGCCAATTTCCATGGTGTACTAGTAAATACTCCCACCATGGCTGATTTTAACCTATCATGTGACCTCACTGAATGTGGAGGTGGGATAAAGGCTAGGTAGCACACCATTATATAATGTGTTTAACACACAGAAATGAAGATGTAAATAACTTTAAGAGCATAGAGAATATTATGTGGTAATCAGAAAATGATTAATTTTGAATTTTCATTACCCTCTTTGAAAGATAATTTATTTACTTATATGTTTATATAATTTAACTTTTAATAATGACTGGGTTTAACAACCAGCTAGCAAAATTCCTGAAAATGTAACAAATGAGCTTTTGCAAACCCGTATAAGCCAGCACCAGCACACCACCACACAATACATTTCCACATGCCCTCTGAGTTGGGAAGGGGTGACACAATGAAAACCAGAGTACCATGCAAAGTATAAATCAGTTGAAAGGAAGATATTATTTGCTTTCCTTCCTACTAGAATTACTGTGTGTCACCCATGAAATAATTTAATGAGATTTCCCTTTATCTTTGCAGTATGTTGACAAGCTAGACATAATAGACCTCACATGCCTTAATGAGCAGAATTCAACTGATAAAAATTGTGCAAAATTCACCCTTGTTTTGCCAAAAGAAGAAGTGCAACTGAAGGTGAGTGAGGAGATGCAATTATTCTGAAACAAGATGTGGTTATAAATAGCATTCACCTCTTCACAGCCTAGTGGCTGAGGTAAAGAGGGGTTATGGGAGAGCCAACTCCTATACTTTGTTAATATTTCTTGCCTTTTGCCAAGAACTACGGTTTTCTAAATAAGAACTTAAAAGGGCATGTTCACTTGTTTAGTATACAAGCACATTGAAACCATATACTCTGTCCTGTGACAAAGTCAGAGATCCCACCTGGTGTTTATAAAAGTTCTCCTTGAATTGATATTCAAGAACTTGGTATTTACCAAGTTCTCAGATGATCCTAAGACATGTCCAACATATTACATGTTTGGAACTACTGAATTAGACAAACCCATATTTCAAAAATTGAGGGACATTCTGCAAGACAATTGGCCTATACTCTTAAAAACTACCAGTGTGACAAAAGCCAAAGAAAGACTGGAAACCTGTTCCAATTACAGAAACTATAGAGTCATGATAACTAAATGCAATGTGTGATCTGGATTGGATCCTGAATTAGAAAAGAAGAAAACAAACAAGTAAGCACATAAAAACCAAAAGCTATAAAGAACATTATTGAGACAATTAGAAAAATTTGAAAAAGATCTGTATCTTGCATATACACAATTTGTAAAATATGGTATTACTATCTATTAATTAAAACTCTAAACTCCACACCGGCAGAAATTGGTACATTCATCACTCAAAGTGAGCCAATTACAGTCAACCAACAACTACAGTAAAAACAAAACAAACAACTTGCAATAGAGTAAGATGCAATTGGAGCTGACCTTAAAAGTACTGGTCATTAAGCTTTAGTGTGCTACAAATCACTTGTACTTAGGAAATCCAAGCCCCACCCAACAAACCTGGGTCTCAGAATCTACATTTTTAGCAAGCTCCCTCCGCAGATGATTCTGATGTGGTGGTGAAGAGTATAGGCAGGACTGGAGCCTAGGTTGAATTCTGGTTGTTTTATTCATTAGTTGTGTGATTGTAGATAAGTTATGTAAGTTCTTTGTGCCTTGGTTTCTACACCTGGTAGTAAGTCTGCTCAGATGTAACCCTCTTACTGAAATCTACCTGGACTACTTTATTAAAATGGCAACACTTTCCCCCTCTATGGCACTCTCAATCTCTTTTACCTTGATTTTATCTTCCCATTTATTTCCTCCTGACACCATAAAATTTACTATTATGTTTATTATTAAATGTACCCTACTACACCGTAAACCAGTACTAGAATAGTGCCTAGCACTAAAAGTCACTCAATAGACACCTGTTAAATAATTAAATCTGTAAAAAAAAAATGATAGTACCTTTTGTCGAGTTGCCATGAAGATTAAATCAGATAATGCATGTGAATAGAATAGAAGTTGCTACTTATAAGCACTTAATAAATGTTGGTCATATTTGTACTTTTTAGAGCTAACAATTGTAAATTTCTAAGGACTAACCACATTGGTTGCCCCCAATTTAAACCAGTCATTGTTAAATACCAATTGGGGGATTCACCATAAATTGACATACTGCAGAAGTAAGTGTGCTAACATTTAAATTTTTTGAGTTAAGTAAATTGGTATACTTTTACTTGTTTACTAATCAAAAGATATATACTCTGTCTTCTGATAAAAGAAAACAATATTGAAATATTTCATAACAAATACACTTCAGTAGTTCTACACAAAAAGAAAAATGAGTTGTTTATTCCATTCAACTGATTCTAAGTGGTTTAAAATTACAATTGACTTTTTAAAACATTGTGCTTCAATAGAAGACTATGCATTTTTGTTGATTTTGCTGATTTTTGATGGCATACATATCTTGATTTTTTCAAACAATCATGAAATTGGGAAGTTATTTGAAATTAATAAAAGTATTAACACTCATAGTCATGCATAAAGACTTCTCTTCTTTGTCTTTATCTTTAGACGGAGAACACAGAGAGTGGGGAAGAATGGAGAGGCTTCATTCTTACAATAACAGAGGTAGGAAAGACGTCACTTTTGATTAATTCATTCATTCAGCAAATATTTACTGAATATTTACTATGAACCATGCAGAGGAAAAGGGGTTGGAGATATAGAAATTGAAAAAGATAGATAAAAACCTTCAGACTTACTTGTGAAATTTCTCTCTTTATTGGGTGGATGGAGAGGGAGAAATAAAGTAAGTAAACAAGCAAGATAATTTAAAATTGTGATTATTTCTATAGCAGTGTGCTAGCTAGCAAACAAGAAGTGGTCAGGGAGATCTCCTTTTTGCTAATATCCTTTTGACACAGTGGTCCTTGTATATTCTGATATTTTAGCTTGCATAGCATTCTCTAAAATATTTTCCAAATCCATACTTACACATTTAACACATATTTATAAAATGCTAAATGAGATGGATTTTATGAATAACATAGACAATATAACATGGAGGGACCATCAAAATAAAACCCACTTTGAAATGTTTGTTTAGTGACTCTTTTTTTTTTTCTTATGTCCATTGGTTATGCTTATATGCATGCATACAAGTCCTTTGGTTGATCTCTTACCCCCCTACCTCCTGCCCCCCAACCCTCCCCGGAGTGACTCTTAAGAAAAAGGGATGTTGATCTGTTAGACTCTGTGGCATCTTATCTGAGATCAGTACTGGTAGTAAGACCTGCTGCTTATGGTGTACAGTTGTAGCAAGATAACTACCACTATGTTAAGTAAAGCCACCGCAGCAATTGTCTTAGAAACATGAGGTACTTTGATAATCAGCCCCCAAAAGAGCACCTTTATTCTCTAATGCTTTTAGTGGATGAGAAAATTTTCTGTTTATTAGAGGAAGTTAAATACAGACTCTATCCAAAGCTAGTTCCTCAGTAAAGACTCTGCAGTCACATGAAATAAGCACTGCACTTTACTGATAGGCGATGGATGTTGGGTCTTTATCTTAGCCAATAACATGTAAAAGTTAGAGGCTCAACTACCATGTGGGTAAGTCATAGGTGATTAAAAAGTAGTCCAGTTTAAGATGTGAAAGACATGTTGACTTGGTGGGAGGGAGAAACTCTTTAGGGAACTGCATTCTTTTCCTTTCCTTGTGCAAAGGCAGCATTTTGGCTGTGGCATTTCTTAACCTGGGGAATTAGTATCCCAATGATATCTGCCTAGGTGTCAAGGAGTACACTAAAACCACTGGAAAAACTTCGGAGTGCATCTTTCTGGTACACTAATACTTCATGTTTTGGCCCCCCAATTTTTTTTCTCCTTGAGGAAAGGCTGCATTCTTTTTAAATTAAAATGTATATAGGTACATTACAGAATATAAAATTTAAGTGAATTTCCAAAAGAAGACAAGGTACCTTATATTTTATGCTTGATAAATGCCATTTTTTGCACAATGAACCCAGGTCACTCTATGCTATTATTAGGAGAAGTTTTGTAGACATTTGAGAAACATAAACTATAGTTGAAAGAGTTGAGATATTGTGTTTGAATTTAAAAAAAATGGAGTTTGAGTCTTGGTTTTACAACTTACTAGCTATGTGACCCAGGACTAGTTATTTAATCTTTTTGAGCCTTTCTTTCTTCTTTCTTTCTTTCTTTCTTTCTTTCTTTCTTTCTTTCTTTCTTTCTTTCTTTCTTTCTTTCTTAATCTTTTTGAGCCTTTCTTTCTTTCTTTCTTTCTTTCTTTCTTTCTTTCTTTCTTTCTTTCTTTCTTTCTTTCTTTCTTTCTTTCCTTTCTTTCTTTCTTTCTTTCTTTCTTTCTTTCTTTCTTTCTTTCTTTCTTCCTCCCTCCCTCCCTTCCTCCCTCCCTCCCTCCCTCCCTCCCTTCCTTCCTTCCTTTCTTTCCTTCCTCCCTCCCTCCCTCCCTCCCTCCCTCCTTTCTCTTTCTTTTTTCTTTCTTTCTTTCTTTCTTTCTTTCTTTCTTTCTTTCTTTCTTTCTTTCTTTCTTCTTTGTAAAGTAAGATTCTTATCTTGTAGCATTGTTGTGAGGATTTTCAATAACACATTGCTTGGGACATAATAGGTAATAAATAAGGAGCAGCTGTTTCATTAATTTTTCCTTATTCTATTATTTTTTTCTGGGTTGGTATATAAGAAAATAGCCCTACTGATTATTAGTTAGCTTAGTTATCCAGATGAATATTCTTGAAACATTTGGATTGTGTACCCTAAAAAATTTTTATTGTGTAATATAAAAATTATAGTAAATTTTTATTTTGAATTTCATATATATGTACATACATCTCTAGAAAAGGTTAAAAAGCAGTAGTAAGTAGAGCAGTAACATAGTGAATAAAACTATGAAATATACACACAAGCATACCAAAATATAGACCTCCGCTTGCTGATTCTCAGTCATCTAATGAACAGTGCCATCTCAACCCCATGTTACCATATGGTTGGTGGCGATATTTCTAGGTTACCTGTGGGAGAGCTATGCACTTTGCAGATGCTCTGGGACTTCCCCAGCAGTGAGAAATAGTACACTCAGAATGAAAACATGAGATCTGTTGTTATGTGAATTAGCCTGTAGTACTTTGCTTTGGGGTCTGACCAAAAGGGACATTTCCTGGAAGAACACTGGACACCCTAATCAGGTTCTAGGGTTTAGTAGCAATTCTCAACCTGTGGGTCGCGACCCCTTTGGCAATCGAACAACCCTTTCACAGGGGTTGCCTAAGACCATCCTGCATATCAGATATTTACATTACAATTCATAATAGTAGCAACATTACAGTTATGAAGTAGCAACGAAAATAATTTTATGGTTGGGTCACAACCTGAGGAACTCTATTTAAAGGGCCAGAAGGTTGAGAACCACTGGTTTAGAGGCTGTTTTAGGACACCTGCCTTACATCAAGATTGTCTATTCTTGATTCTACCCACCCATCTCTGTCAGGTAACTGAAGCTCCTTAGGACCAGAACAGGCTCATCTTGGCTAAAAATCAGTTAGTTATTTTGCTTTCTTTCTTGTTTGCTTACTGTTTTAATTGGTTTCAGCTGTCAGTTCCCCAACATGTGTCACTCCTTCCTGGACAAGTAATTAGACTGCACGAAGTCTTAGAGAAAGAAAAGAAAAGGAGGATTGAGACAGAGCGGCTGTCAAGTACATCTCCGGAAGAAGAGAGGGAACCAATAGAGGATTATGTGGATGTACTGAACCCTATGCCAGCGTAAGGGCACCATTAACTCCAGTTTATTTATTGGATTGTTAATGTTAATTTCTATTTGTTAAGGAGAGTTAGTCAATGACCTCATTAAACCAGGGACAATAAGCTGTCTTGTGGATAAACAGCATATATCTGAGTGCATGCCACATTTCCTCTTCTGTGTCATGATCAACAAAATGCAAAATGCAGATTTGAACCATCTCTCTTACCACACAGGAAATCCCCTTCCACCCACACTTTCAGACTAAACAGATATTCTTTCCAAAGTTTAAACCTAAATAAAAACTGCTTTGAGGAAGGAAGGAAGCAATATTTTTTCACCATGCAACTCTCTGATTGACTGATCTTCTACCAGAAAATTACACCAATGAATTAAAAAAACACACACACCATATATATATATATATATATATATAGACACAGACAACAGTGTGGTGATAGACAGAGGGGAAGGGGGGAGGTAGGTGGAGGTAGGCAAAAGGGGATAAATTGGGATGGAAAGAGACTTTGCTTTGGGCCATGGGCACACAATGCAACATGCAGATGATGTTTCATTGAGTTGTACACTTGAAACCTAAATGGTTTTGTGAACCAATGTAACTCTAATAAAATAAATTAAAAAATAAGTGAATATTCTATGCAGCTGTTCAATCATTGGGTAGTCATTGTGCTGTACTTTGAAGGCCCTGTGTAAAGTGGGTACGGTGTTGTTGGAAAAATGGAGACATAGAACACGCTGAATTTAGCAACATCCCATCTCTATTGTTTACCATTACATTGTTAAAGAGCGTGACTAAGATTGTGAACCTCTTCCTCTGGAACCTTGGTCAAGTTCTCACCAGTGAAATTTGCCCTGGTACCACCTTTGACATCAAGTTCTGATTCGTGTTCTTTTGTACTATGATCACTGAAACCTGCCCACCGTAACGTTTAGCTGAAACCAATGACTCATAGACTGATAGGTTAAAAGTCACAGAGTGCTTCTTTTTCTTTTATGCTCAATAAACCAATATATGATTTTACAGATAAATAAAAAGACTAAAACCATTGCTCCCTAATTCAAAGATATTTGCTGTTAACATTTTGGTATATTGCATATCCTTCCAGATATTTTTCTGGGACTATATATTTCATTGATTACAATATACTAGTATACTATAAAAGTGAGAGGTGTTTCTTAAAGGTTTTACACATAAAAACACCACCGATGTTATAAGAAATCCATATTTTGCCAAATGGAGTGAGTTAAGATGTACTCTTAAATATGAGTTATTTTAAAAGAAAGGCAAACTACAGAAGCATGTATAGAGATGTTTTGTATCTCTGGAAAGAAACCACTAACAAATATTATTTATCCAATCCAATAACCTATTATTATAAACTGAGAATGGAGATACATTGTTAATTTTTATTTTAGGTTTTCAAATGGTAATGGTGATAATATACTGATCAGTAGATAATTTTTCAGGTCCCCTTTGGTGAGAGAACGAGGTTTTGGAGGGATGAGAGGAGGAGGGCTGTAAGCATACACATATTTATAGTGGCACAGGCTTGTAATAATAATAATTATAATCATATCAATGCAGTTATAATAAAACTGGGGATTTTAAGAAAAGTTAACAAATGCAGTTCTAAATTACTTCAGAAGCATTTTTTTTCAAGTCATGATCTTTATCCAACTTAAAAAGTCTGTTTTTATCTCACCTCTGTAGATGTTTCTATGCTGTGTCTCGAAAAGAAGCAACTGAGATGCTTGAGAAGAATCCTTCATTGGGAAATATGATCCTGAGGCCTGGTAGTGACAGCAGAAACTTCTCCATCACTATCCGGCAGGAGATAGAGTATGTTTAATTAAAAAAACAAATGGAATTATTAAAAGCATGATATCACTTTAGAAAGTGGAGTCATAAAGTTCAGATTAGCATCCTCTGTGTGTTTTGCTGGGGCTAAGAATATAACTACAAAAATAGAGAGGGGATGGTATACGTATTAGCAATGCTAAAGACTGAGCCAACGCTAATATTAGCAGTAGGGATGAATGAGCAAATTACTTTGGTCCTGGATATAGTTCATTCATTCATTCATGCATGCATTCATTTCAACAAGTATTTACTGAGCAATTACTATGAACCAAGTAATATTCTAGGAACTGAGGATGCAGCAGTGAGCAAAACAACATCCCTAGTTTAAGGAAGTTTACATACTTGCAGGGAGACACAGACTATAAATAAATACGTAACCAAAAATGTCATACATAAGGTAATAAGGCTTATGAAAGTAAAATAAAGCAGGATGAGGGAAATGGGAATCTCAGAGGTAATAATTATGTGCACATTTTGGTGGCACATACACTAAAATTGGCATGATACAGAGAAGATTAAAGATTAGCATGGCCCTTGCCTAGTGTTTCATATTTTAAAAAAAGAGAAAATTTTTCTAGTTGCTGTTGCTTTAATATAGAGTGCTTAGGAAAGGCCTATTTCATTAACTGGCATTTAAACAGAGATCGCAAGGAAGTGAGGGAACAAACCTCCGTGTCTGGGACAAGAGCATTCCAGGCAGCAGGTGCATATGTCCAGAGGCAGGAGAGGCTTATTTTGTTCAAGAAACAGAAAAGGCCTTGGTGATTGCAGTGGAGTGAGCTAGGAGAAAGTGATAAGAGATGAGATTCCAGAGGTGGGGTAGGGACTGATGTGCAAACCCTACAGTTCATTGTGGGGACGAGGGTTTTACTCTGAATGACATGAGAGGCCACTGGAGTGTGATGAGTAAAGAAGTGACTATGAAAAGGACCATAGGAGCCTTTTGTCAAGGTCAATAATTTCTTTCTGGTGAAACGGTTTATGCTTGATAAAGTAAGTAACATTTACATGCACAAGTTGATTTTTCTGTGTAACTAGGGTGGTTCACTTCAGCTCTCAGTCTCTGAAAATTTGTATTGCAATAGGGTCTCTAGTTTAGTTAACATTTTCACAACTTATAATCTACATATAAAGGCTTTTGTCCCATATGAAAATATTCAATAAGTGATTCTTATTCCCAAAAAAGCATAAACAGAACTGTTTTTTGAATTTGTTATTTTTTTTCCTGAGGGTATTATTCTATTACATTTCTAAAGCTAGAATATATCAATGAATCTATCTACCATAAATATCAATAACTCTAAAGAGATTAAATATGAAGACATTGACAATGAAGAAAGGCAGTAAAAAGAAAACAATCACAGGAAAAAATTAAACTTAGGACATTATGGCTTCATGGCTAGTATGAGCCATGGTCCAATCAGCTTTATTCACTTGCCAATTACTCTGTATACACTAGCCATGTACACTGAATAGTGGCAAGAATGTTAGATGGTAAATCTGGTTCTGTGTGTGAAGTAAGAGAAAATGTGTGTCATGTGCGCATGTGCACGCACGCATTCACATGTGTCTTTTCCACAATAAATATCTATGTCAATTTAATCTTTTGGGTGTATTATTTTTAACAATTATAGACTAACATTTGGAATGAATGAGTTTCAATGAATATAGTTCAGTTATAATTTATTTATCATTTAATTGACTATCTTGATGCAAATCCAACATAAATAAAAATTATGAATGGCCATCAAATATCAGTGTACTTAGAACTCCTGGATTTTCTGTTAGTATATCCTGATTAAGGAGATTATCCTTTTCCAGGGTTTAGGAAATTGAGTATCACATAAAATATAGAATGTTTTTAACTGTTTACTCCCACTTTAAAAATATGAAATATAAAAAGCTAAATTAAAATTATCTTGCAGATTTTAAAAAAAGAAACCATCTAACTGCTTGGAAAGTAAACTAGATCACACAAGAGAATGATGAACTGTTTCCTTCATATTATTTTCTTGGTTGGATTGGCTGTTTTATTGATTTGCATGTGAACCCTATGTTACTATTCTGCATGAAACAAAATCCTGATACCTAACAGCTCTTTAAAGACTGTGTATAGTAGCTGGATCTCTTGTAAGGTAGTCTAAATTAGCCCAACTTTTGCACTGTACTTTCTGTACAAGTGAGCTATGAAAAAATAGTTTTTTCTGCTGTAAATGTGGTTTTGGACGAAATGCAAGTAGTTTCTATATCTAGGATATGAACTTAATGTCACAGCTTATACATATATTTGTATTATATTTAAACTCGTAAGAGTCGAGCAAAGGAGTTCATTTCAAAGTTATGTGTTTCTAATTTTACGATACTCACTTCCAGTTTGAATTCATATAGTTCATACTTTGTACAGCTGATGGTCATAAGAATATAATATTTCATAAAACTAATCACCCCCTCACCCAAAAAGTTCATATTTAGAAAGCAAGGAGTAAAATAGAATGCTTAAACTAGAGCATTCTAATACTGTAGTCAGTATAAGCTTATTTAGACTTTGAGGCATAGTTTATAACATGAAAAACATGAAAATGGTTAACATGTTTTAGCTGTTACTGTACAAATTTTCCTTATGAGTCATATATATATAGTTATATGTCTTCTCTAATATTTTAGAATGCCCAGATTTAATATCGTCTATTTAACAGATTACTTAATTTTAAAGGATAGCTATTGTGGAGAGTAGTATAATTGACTACAGAGCTTCATGTGAAGATTTGGTAGAAATCTAGACTATTAGGAAGCACCTGTGTTACCCACAAAACTAATTCATTCTCTTACAGGTTGTAGGAGAAATGGTCAGCTATGAAGTTTAGATGAGTGTGTCTGGTTAAACACTAGCTAAAAAGGACAAGTTGGTTTACAAAATATCATGAAAGTAAAAATTATCTCCATCTGTTCACATATCAGCTGTGGGAGGGAAGACTGTAGTTCACAGGAAGAAGCAAAAGTCATTCAATGTCAAATTATCAGGTGACTCCTCTCTTGATGCAAAATATCATCCACCTTTATCCAGCTCAATGGAGTGTGAATTCATAAGACATAAAGCTATTCGTAAAACAAACTTCATGGTTTTGGTCTTTCTAAAAATAATTATGACTATGTGGCAAGCTAGCAGTATACTAGTATACACTTTGGAAAGCCATTGACCAAGAAAGCAGTAGCAAATAGTTAGCCAAAATTCATTCCTTTGCAAAAATTGAGGTCAAAAGCTAAGAACAGGTATTTATAACCATATGTAAGGCCACACATTCTTTTTTAAAGACAGGTTACTTCCTTTTTGAGGTCATACACATGAGACTTCAATATAGCAAATTTGTCAATCTCATTTTGTCTCTCTTTCTTTATTCCTTTGGAAAAACAAAATGTGAAAGAAAAACAAAGGTCTAAAATAAGAGTCAAAGCCTAAGTGACTTGAATGGAATTTTTTTCTACCATCCTGCTTCAGAACTTAGTCCTGTTAGTCAGAAGTTCCAAGAGACCCTGTTAACCTTTGCTACTTTTCCTTTCACAGGTTGCCATGAATGACGATAATGATGATATGATGGTTATTACTAACACAATCACTGTCCCCACTTATAGGGTACCATTTATGGGTGCATGTTGAGTGCTTGACAAACATTTTCTTCAGGCACAATAAAGACAGAGACAGACAGTATTTTCCATGTTTAACAAATGAAGAGGCTGAGACTTAAAAAAATTACTAACTTAAAGGACTTTTCAAACATAATTCATAACGCAGCCTTAAGCACGAAGGCATTACCATCTCCATTTTATAGATGAAGAAATGAAGGCTCAGAGAGTTTACAAAAGACCAGAGTGTGAACCTAGATCTTCCTAGTTATAAAGGCCATGTCCTTCAAGCTTTCTATCAATCTTCCAAGTTATGATAATTACTTATTACATAGGAATACAGGAATTCTAAATGGATTTGGTGCGAGTTTTCATATGTAACTGTATGATTATAAGGTTGATTTTCATGGTAGGGATAAAGATAAAGCCAGAGCCAACCATCCCAACAGAGGGTACCTGTAACTGCAGTCTGTAACTGATTCCTGAAGGTTCAGCATTAAGAAATACTTTTTTTTTTTTTTTTTTACTTTTCCCCCTTTTTAGGAGGGGAGAGGGTTGGTTAAGTTTTATCCCATTTTTTGAAAGTAAAACTCTAGAATAAACCATTGGAATAAAGTTATTAGCTGTTTCCCAACATGATATGCAATTGAGAGAAGATTTGAATGTAACAGTAGAAGAGGAAAGGGTGAGTCCCTTGAACAGAAGTGTAGTTCAGTCCTAGAGAAATGTGACCTGGAAATGGAGGATGAGGGATGAGAAAGGTAGGAGGCTCTGCAGATAAAACTTAACCTGGTAGACACTTTTGCTATAGCAGCTTCAGTAAATCGGACAGGTGTTGGATTACTTTGTCTTTCAGGCAAATGGCAGTGCAATAAATGCTGTTTACTTTTCAACATTAGCTAGTCTTGGTCCTGCTGACACTGTTTCCATATGAATCAAGGGAATTCAAGGCAAACATACTGTTGTTCAAAACTAACTGGCATAGACATTGACTTATGCTCTCAGTATAAATTAGTTCTAGCAAATAGCACTATGAGATGGGCTCCTACAGTTTTAAAATTCAGTTTCACAAATACAGTGTGCCTGAAGCTGGAATACAAAAAATGACTAGAATGTGCTTCTTGTTCTTAAGCAATTCATAGTCAATAAAATAGCACAAATTTAGTATTAGAGTGCTATGTGACTACAGAAGAGGAATACATTAAGATTTATCTGTTGTACTTGCATTCTCACATCTAAGTGTTCATATAGTACCTAACATCTAGCATTTTCCATACCTCGAAGTTCAAGATGATATATAAGCAAGCAGGAAGAATAGTCATTGAGAGCTTTCTGACTGGAGTAAAGGGTAATTTGCTTTCAGTAGTTCTTTCTATTTCTCTGTTAATATAGAGAATAAGTATTTGATTTGTATATGCCCACCTAGGATTTTATAATGATGTCTACTTTGTAAGTTTTAGGCATTTAAAAGTATAATTCTGCCTAAAAGATTGTCAGTTCTTGATTCCTGTATTTATCCCTATTATTTTTTCTCATCCAACCAATTGATGGCCCAGGTTTCTTATATACCTAGCATATAACTCCCCAAAAAGAATATATATAAAGAACCAGGTAAATAGAAAAACAAAAAACCCAACCATTTTTCCCCCTAGTCATTAAAACATAGGTTTTACTATACAGGTGATATTTTATACTCACTTTAGTTTGATTTGACCCAACAGTATACTCAAATGGATATTAACCTTTTTTTCCCCATTTTTAGCATGCCAAGAATCAAGCACTACAAAGTGATGAGGGTAGGAAAAAGCTACACTATTGAACTGGAAAAACCTGTAAGTAGCTATTTCCTTGTTGTTCATGAATTTTCTTCTGCTTCCTTCCACACTTACCTGATTTTTTAAAAAATTTACTTATTTTTTTTTTTAATTGCTTAAAGTATTACAAAGGGTATTACACATGTCTCCTTTTCCCCCCTGCCCCACACTTACCTTATAGAACACAAAGAAAGGTGGAAAAGTAAACTCCATGGCTAGGAACAGTGCTGGAAAAAAACAGTCATGTCAAGGAGCCCTGAGGTGTAAGGGTGAGAAATGAGATTCAAAAGCAGATGGATGAGGCAGAATAGAAGATAATCTGCTAAAAATTCTTTCCATTTTTCTTTTTCTGTAAATCTTTATCACTATAGTTGTTTCCGGGAGAGAAATATATTTTGTTTATCAGTTGTTTTACATCCTCCAAATTAAGTATTTCAATGTGCTTATATTTTTAAATTTTATTTTTTCATTATAGTTGACATTCAATATTATTTTATATTACTTTTAGGTGAACAGCATAATGGTCAAATATTTATATACTTTACAAAGTGATACCCCTGATATGTCTAGTACCCTCCTGGCACCATACACAGTTATTACAACATTGTTGACTATATTCCCTATGCTGTAGTTTACATCCCCATGCTTATTTTATAACTATCAATTTGTACTTTTTAATAATTTTTTAAAAATTAGTGTTTTTGTTTTTTTAAATTGATTTCAGAGAGAGCAAGGGAGATACAGAAACATCAATAATGGGGAATAATAATTGCTTGGCCGTCTCCTGAACACCCCCTACTGGGGATCAATCCCACAACCCAGGCATGTGGCTTGACCAAGAATTGGACCTTGACTTTCTGATTCATGGGTTGATGCTCAACCACTGAACCACACCGGCCAGGTCAATTTGTACTTTCTAATCCCTTTCACCTTTTTCACCCAACCCCACAGTCTACCTCCCCCTTCATCTAGCAACAATCAGTTTGTTCTCTGTATCTATGAGCCTGTTTCTATTTTGTTTCTTTATTTTGTTCTTTAGATTTCACATGTAAGTGAAATCATTATGTTGTCTTTCTGTCTGACTTATTTCACTTAGCATAAAACCTTCTAGGTCCATCCATGCTCTCTCAAATGGTAAGATTTCTTTTTTATGATTGAGAAATATTGCATTGTATATATGTACTACATCTTTATCCAATCATCTATTGATGGGCATTTGGGGTGCTTCCTTATCCTGATTATTTGAAATACTGCTGGAATGAACATAGGGATGCAAATATCTTTTTAAATTAGTTTTTGGATTTCTTCAGATAAAAACCCAGAAGTGAAATTGCTGGGTCATAAGGTAGTTCTATTTAATTTTTTGAGGAACTTTCATACTGTGTTCCTATAGTCAGTGGCTGCACTCTGCATTCCCACCAACAGTGCATGAGGGTTCCCCCTTTTCCACATCCTCACCAACAGTTGTTGGTTTATTGATGATAGCCATTCTGACAGGTGTGAGGTGATTGATATCTTGTAGTTTTAATTGCATTTCTGTGATGATTACTGACATTGATCATTGTTTCATATGTCTATTGGCTATCTTTATGTCCTCTTGGGAGAAGTGTCTATTCAGGTCCTCTGTCCATTTTTAATTGGGTTGGGTTTTTTTGGTGGTGTTGTATGAGTTCTTTATAAATTTTGGATATTAACTCCTCATTGAATGTATTATAGGCAAATATTTTCTCCCAACAGGTAGGCCGTCTTTTTGTTTTGTTGATGGTTTCCTTTGTTCTGCAAAAACATTTTTGTTTGATGTAGTCTCATTTGTTTATTTTTGTTTGTTTGTTTCCCTTGCCCAAGGAGATATATAAAAATAAAATATATTACTAAGAGCAATGTCAGATAGTTTACTGCCTATGTTTTCTTCTAGGGGTTTTTTGGTTTCAGGTCTTACATTTAACTCTCTAATCCATTTTGAGTTTATTTTTGCATATGATATAAGAAGGTCATCTAGTTTCATTCATGTATCTGTCCATTTTCTCAACTCCATTTATTGAATAGACTAGCTTTACCCAATTGGATATTCTTGCCTCCTTTCATTAATTCACCATATAGGCATGGGTGTATTTCTGGGCTTTCTTCAATGTGCTTATTTCTAATGGGAAAAACAGCTGTGAATGCTTAGTCCTCTAATACCCACCATGCAGAATTTCAGAAATCTTCCTCTTAATAGCAACATAAGAGTAAAGAAAGGGTTTTGCCCTGGCTGGTAGGACTCAGTTGGTTGGACGTCATCCAATGCACCAGAAGGTTACTGGTATGGTTCCTGATCTGGGCATATCACCAGGCTGCCAGCTTGATACCTGGTAGGGTGAGTGCAGGAGGCAGCTGATTGATGTTTCCCTCTCAAATCAATATTTCTTTCTTTCTCTCTCTCTCTCTGTCTCCCTTCCTCTCTCTCAAAAAACCAATATAATTTTTTAAAAAAAGGGGTTTGTCTTTGTCTGTAACCCCTCTTCTACCCCAATAAACTTATCATGGGGCTAATGATATCTCTATATAAAAGCCAAGCAACCAGAACGACTGGACCAGAACGAGCGGAATGACTGGTCGCTATGACACACACTGCGGCTAGCCAACTGGCCTGATGGGAGCGGGTCGGCTGGTCAACCTCCCATGTCCCCTCCCCCTGGCCAGCCTGTCCTGATCGGGGTGCACTGGGCCTCTAGTAATATCATAACCACTACATATTCTGTTAGGCAGAGCTAGTACTTTACATATGCCATTTATTTATTCTTCATCACTACCTTGTTGTACAGGTGGAAAAATGGGTATTTACTGGTACACTGGTCTCAATCAATGAGATTATAGTAACATGACCTATGGTTCAGGATGCTGAAAAAAAAGGGAAGATAGGCATGTGATCTTAGCTGAGTTGATGGAAAGAATGGACCAGGAAAGTACTATCACTTAAATGGAACCTATGGTTCTTGAAGATATTGACAATATATTTTCTAAAATTGAGCTAACTCTCCTGCCTCTCCATGCCCATTATGTTGATCAAACAGAGAAGGGTCAGTATGGTTGAATTTATGTTTTGACCATAACCCTTAGAGTACAGTAGTGACCTTTGCCATAAGAAAGGCAGCTGCTGATTCATATACCCCACATAAATTGTTGCTATAAATGCTTCCCAGAGCTTCTCCATTCTCATGTCCATGCCTGATTGGGAGTTTTCAAAAATTCGAATGAAGGAAGCAGAGAACTATATTGCTGAAGGGTAACACAAATAGCCAAGTGAATGGAAGCAATGGTCAGGAAAAATAATGTCTTTGCAAGTGGTGAATGGGGCACATTTATCTGTCATTAGCCCAAACAGTTCTCAGTATAAGGAAAGCTAATAGTCTGAATTATTCTTTCACCTTCCACACTCCCCAAACCCTACCCCTCAACCAGATTTGTCACTTTCTGAAAAATGTTTTTCCTCTTCAAGGTTACTAAGGATATTCAGCTTTAATCTGATTTTACTTGTACAAAAATACACATAATAGCAATGCATTGCAGTTATGCCTAGCCAAGCAAATTATCCTATTACAATGATATTAAAATGCTAATTTCAGTTTGTTTCAAGCAGAAGAAACCAACTATAGTCAAATGAAGCAAAATTAAATGTACGAACATCGATGACTGGAAGGCTAGAAAAGCAGGGACTAGGAAGCAGTTACCTATAATAAACATCATCTGATTAGAGATCTACTCTCCTTCCTTGTTCTACTCTAGTTCAAATTTCGGGAATGGAGCATTTCTGACCTAACTTGAGCCACACTCTCATGCAAAAACTGGGGAAGAGCAAAGAGTACCTAATGATTGTCCATCAAAACGTATCCAATAGGAAAGGGGTAATACTTCAGCAGGAAATCAGCTATGATTATAAAGGAGAAATAAAATGCATGGGTAGACAAAGCCATTCAGTAAGCCATTGAAGTGAGGTATGGATACGATTTTCTGGAGGCCAGAGAATACACAGTTAATCTCCATTAACTTTTAGTTGAGCTTTCTCTTCCTCTATCTTTACACAGGAGACACTGAGCCTTCTCTCTCTCTTTATACAGGTAACACTTCCAAACCTTTTTAGCGTCATTGATTATTTCATGAAGGAGACTCGAGGAAATTTACGACCATTTATATATTCAACTGATGAAAACCTTGGTATGTTCTTCATTTAATCTCTATATTAAGGAAAGCAAAGCCAAACAAAACCAAACCCTGTATATGGTTTGTAATATCTACTAGGTAGGACTGTAGTTCTGCTTTTAAATTTACCCATTTAGAAATTGTTTTGTTACTGACCCTGTGAAAATAAGGGAGTACCACTATATCCTGGTGGATAGAGGATGGGCCCATTCTACAGAAAAACCCTGAGACATGTGCTATAACTATTAACTTTATTGCATTATTCTACTTGGCTTTATCAAATTCAGAGATAAGAAGAAAACCATGATATAGTCATGTAAACCAAAGAGGAAACTTAAAGGTAGGGTCTGTCAACAGTGCCAAATGCTTTAGGCACATTAAAATGGGCGAATGGGTGAGGATGAAAGAAAGACCATGGGAACTGGCCATAGGGCAGTAGATGACCCGAGAGAGGTCTTATTCAACCATAAAGGGAGAAGTCAGACTGCAAGATAACAAGGAGTGGGTGAATAGCAAGAAACTACAGATAAAGATTATAGATAGTAGCCAGAATTAACTACAGAATTTGTTAAACCAAGCATGGGACCCTATAAAAGTGTACAGTTCACATGACCATGAAACTGGCCCTGTTTGTACTTTTTTTTTTCTTTGGCAGAGAAGGATAGGCTGGTTGTGAGTTTCTCTCCATCCTTTGAAACAATCCTTGATACATGGTCACTTGAGAAGCTGTAAGCAGGAGAGATAAAAATATTCCCAGCTTGTTTGGATTCAGTTATCAAAACAAGTCCCTGTTCCTACAGATTATGAGAAAAAAAACTTTGGCTACCTGTATCCGGGCATATCTAGAAAATCTCCCTAATTAAAAGGGCAGCAAGTTTGCCCTGGCTGGGTGGCTCAGTTGGTTGGAGCATCATTCCGTACACCAAGAGGTTGCGGTTTTGATACCCATTTGGGGGCGCATATGGGAGGCAACTAATCAATGTTTCTCTCTCTTTCTCTCTCCCCCTCCTTCTCTCTTTCTCTCAAATCAATAAAAACGTATCTTTGAGTGAGGACTATATATATAGAAAAAGGGGGCCAGCAAGTTAAAAATGTGTTAAGTATTAAAATATGGCTATAAATTTTGTGATGCCAAATAATTAAAAAACAAACAAACAAAAAACTCTTGCCCTAACCGGTTTGGCTCAGTGGATAGAGCGTTGGCCTGAGGACTGAAAGGTCCCAGGTTCGATTCCGGTCAAGGGAATGTACCTTGGTTGCAGGCACATCCCCAGTAGGGGGTGTGCAGAAGGCAGCTGATCGATGTTTCTAACTGTCTAACCTCTTCCTTCCTCTCTGTAAAAAAAAAAAAATCAATAAAATATATTAAAAAAAAAAACTCAATCTAAAGGAACTTTAGAAAATTATCCAGTACAGTGTTTTACTATTATAGGAATCACCTGCACTCAGTACAGAAACCAACTCTCAGATGTGATCATTCAGCTTGTTTGAAAATTTCTAATTATAGTCACCTCACTGATTTTTGAGGCAGCACAGTTCACTTTTGGTAAGCTCTCATACTAGAGAATTTTTCCTTAGTATTGACTATGAAACATTCTTTCAACTTCTACATATTAACTCAATTTCTGGTTTTGAGACAACACAGGGTTTAGCCACATGTCCCTCTCCCCCCAGTCTGTCATCTATAAATTATTGGTTCCTTCAGCACTCTCACTCTCATCTTGCTCTTCTCTGTACATTAATATCTGAGCATTTCTCTTAAAGCCTAAGCACAAGGGATGAACACATGGCTATAGATATGGCCAGCATAATACATTACCTGGGCTTTATGCAGGTAAATACTATCTAACAGAAACCTCTGGGAATGAGCTATTAATACTAATAATGCTCCCCCCTCCCCCTTCTTTTCCAGAGACCGAAGGATTTCCTGTAACATCTCTAAAATAAATAGAAAAAATAGGATGGTGGGGAGGGGAATCCAATGTAATTGACCTCCTTCATAAATTGTGAAGTCACCTAATGCTATGTAACAAACCACCCCCAAAACATGCTGTGAAACAAAGCACCCCTAGAACATGGTGGTTAAATCAACAAACCTTTTATTTGCTCAGGATTCTGTGCATCAGCAATTTGGACTGAACCAGGCTTTTCACCTGGTCTCTAAGCCTTGAGCTTAGGCTCTCACACGAGGTCTCAGAGCAATTAAAGGAGAGAAGGGTAGCTACATGTCCTTGGGCTAGAAATCCTTAGTACTGAGAATAAAATTCAGAAAGTCCTCATGAAAGTTGTTGCCAGGGTCTGCACTTTAAGCAAAAAAAAATGTTTAATAAAGCCAATTTTATCATCGGCTAATTGACATAAACAAAACTTAAGTTCCTACAGCACCGCATCAACATTGTAACAAAATGACAATGAACTAAACCACACGGAGGATCTGCCTTGTTGGAGCTTTTTATACAGAAGCTGTGAAGTGAATAAATAATTCCAAGTGTGATGTTTTATGTATAGGGACTATATTTCTTTCTTTTAAAAATTACTTAATTTACATACAACAATTGTTTTGGTGTATAGTCCTACCAGTTTTGACAACCACCACCACCACAATCAAGACACATAAAGTTCTATCACCTCAAAAATTGCCTTCATGCTGTTCCTTTGTAGTCAGCCCTTTCTCTTTAAAATTTACCAATTTTAAGCTTTAAAAAAATCAAACATTTTTACTAGAGGCCCGATGCACAAAAATTTGTGCAAGAGTAGGCCTTCCTTCCCCCGGCTGCTGGCATTGGCTTCCCTCCAGCACCCGGGACCCGGGCTTCCCTCCTCTGGCTGCCTCAAGCACCCTGGACCCAGGCTGGCTTCCCTTGGGCCCCAGCTTCATCAGGAAGGACATCCAGAATGATGTCTGGAAGATGTCCGGTCTAATTAGCATATTACCTTTTTATTATTATAGAAGATGATTTCAGAGAAGGGATAGAGAAAGAGAAATATCAATGATGAAACAGAATCATTGATCTCCCGGCACCAGCGATCCAGCAACTCAGGCATGTGCCCTGACTGGAAATTGAACCGTGACCTCCTGGTTCATAGGTCAGTGCTCAACCACTGCACCACACCAGTTGGGTGTACTCAGCCCTTTTTATTGTCAATCTCTGGCAACTACTGATGTCTTCCATTCCTATAATTTTGCATTTTCCAGAATGTCATATAAATGGAATCACAGTATGGAATCACAGTATGGAATCTTTTGACACTGATTTCTTTCACTCATCATAATGTCTAGATCCACACAAGTATAGCATGTATACCTTGTTCCTTTTTTTAAAGCTGAATAGTATTTCACTGTATGGAGATACCAGTTTTTTTTAATCTACCTACCAATTTAAATGTATTAGGGTTTCCAGTTTTGGGAAATTATTAATTAACCTATATGAATATTATTATAAAGATTTTTGTGTGAACATAAGTGTTCATTTCACCTGGATAAATCTCTAAGGATAGTGTGTGTATAACTTTATATAAAACTGCCAAACTCTTCTCACAAATGGTCCTTTTTGCATCTCTGCTATCCATATCTTGAGCGTTCTATTTGCATTCTCACCAGCACTTATTGTCATTAAAAAAAAAGAGAGAAAAGATTCTTGTAAGTATATAGTGGTCTCACTGTGGTTTTAATATGTATTTCCCTAATGATTATGTTAAGCATTTTTTCATGTTTTGTCAATCATATCCTGAATTTGGTAAAATATCTGTTTAAGTTTTTTTTTTTTTAAAAAATAAATCTTTATTGTTCAGATTATTACAGTTGTTCCTCTTTTTTCCCCCCATAGATCCCCTCCACCCAGTTCCCACTCCACCCTCTGCCCTTACCCCCACCACTGTCCTCATCCATAGGTGCACGATTTTTGTTCAGTCTCTTCCGACACCCCCCACACCCCTTCCCCCCCCGCCCCCCCGAGAATTGTCAGTCCTCTCCCTTTCTATGCCCCTGATTGTATTATATTCACCAGGTTACTCTGTTCATCAGATTTTTTTATTCACTTGATTTTTAGATTCACTTGTTGATAGATATGTATTTGTTGTTCATAATTTTCATCTTTACCTTCTTCTTCTTCCTCTTCTTAAAGAATACCTTTCAGCATTTCATATAATACTGGTTTGGTGGTGATGAACTCCTTTAGCTTTTTCTTAGCAGTGAAGCTCTTTATCTGACCTTCAATTCTGAATGATAGCTTTGCTGGGTAAAGTAATCTTGGTTGTAGGTTCTTGCTATTCATCACTTTGAATATTTCTTGCCACTCCCTTCTGGCCTGCATAGTTTCTGTTGAGAAATCAGCTGATAGTCGTATGGGTACACCCGTGTAGGTAACTGACTGTCTTTCTCTTGCTGCTTTTAAGATTTTCTCTTTGTCTTTTGCTCTTGGCATTTTAATTATGATGTGTCCTCTTTGGATTCCTTTTGATTGGGATTCTCTGCGCTTCCTGGACTTGTAAGTCTATTTCTTTCACCAGATAGGGGAAGTTTTCTGTCATTATTTCTTCAAATAGGTTTTCAATATCTTGCTCTCTCTCTTCTTCTGGCACACCTATAATTCAGATATTGGGACGCTAGAAGTTGTCCCAGAGACTCCTTACACTATCTTGACAGTTTTGGATTCTTTTTGCTTTTCTGATTGGTGTTTTTTACTTCTTTGTATTTCAAATCTTTGACTTGATTCTTGGGATCCTCTTGTCTGCTGTTGGACCTCTGTATAATATTCTTTATTTCAGTCTGTGTATGCTTAATTTCTAGTTGGTTCTTTTTCATATCCTCAAGGGTCTCACTAAATTTATCGGCGGTTTCTAGAAAATTCTTGAAAAAACCTTATAACTGTCTGTGGTTTTGAACTCTATATCCAGTAGTTTGCTTTCCTCCATCTCTGTCATTTGTGACCTGTTTCTTTGTCTCCGCATTTTTTATGCTTCCTTGTGTTGATAGAGTGGCTTTGTGTGCTAGGTGTCCTATAGGGCCCAGTGGCTCAGCCTCCCCAATTACCTGAGGAGGACACTCTTGGTACATCCCTTTGTGGGCTGTGTGCACAGTCTTGTTGTAGTTAAGTCTTGATTGTTGTAGGTATCCCTGGGAGGAATTGACCTCCAGGCCAATTGTCTTTGAGAATCAGCTGTGTCTACACTGGGAGAACTTCTGTGCTGAAGACACCCTTCTGGGGCAAGACTTGCTTCAGTGGGGCTTTGGTGCTCACTGAGTCTGCCCCCTGAGTGTGTCCCTTATGGATCTGAGGAGTTATAATCTGGATGGTCCCAATCTGACCACTGGGTACACAGGGTCTTGGATCTCTATGGAGGTGCTAATTTAGCCTCTGCCTGAGGCTACCCAGCAGGAGCTACAGAGAGATCTGCAGGTTCCTCTTCTTTGTTTGGGTTTTGGAGCTGCCCAGATGAGGCCCAGCTGTGAAGCAATGCAAGCTGCTGTGGGGCCTTGGGCCTTCTTTTGGATGTTCTGGGTCTTTCTGACCCAGCTGCAGTTTGTTAGGTAATTTTAGATCTCAAAGGGCCAGCCCATTCATATGCAAAAGCCTCTGTGCACAGCTTGGGTGGGGCAGGGTCTCAGGGAATTAACAGGGTGGAGCAAACAGCTATGGCTGATCATCAGTCCTGCCCTAAGAGGCCCCGGGTCTCAGTGTCCTGGTAATCGCTGCAAGCACTTCTGAGAGAAAGCCGCCCTCAAGTTCTGCCCGCTGCCAGACAGTCCAGTTTCTCCCCGTATGAGTCTGGGTCCCCAGAGACTCACCCGGAACTGGAGTCAGGGCCGTCGGGAGCTGGTGCCTCCCTCCCGATTGTAAAAGACACTGGCGTCCTCAGGTGCCAGCCCCTTTCAGCGTGTGCTCGAGCCTCCGTACCTCTGCACTTTACTTCTGTACCTCCTCAGAGTCTCAGCGTGCTTTTCTCTTTCCTTCTAGTTGTAGAATTTCCACTCAGCCAGCCTTCCTGTGGTTCTGGATAATGTCTGTTTTGTCTTTTAGTTGTATATTTTTAAAAATATATTTTATTGATTTTTTCACAGAGAGGAAGGGAGAGGAATAGAGAGTTAGAAACATGGATGAGAGAGAAGCATCGATCAGCTGCCTCCTGCACACCCTCTATTGGGGATGTGCCCACAACCAAGGTACATGCCCTTGGCTGGAATCGAACCTGGGACCCTTCAGTCCCCAGGCCGACACTCTATCCAGTGAGCCAAACCAGCCAGGGCTAGTTGTATTTTTGAAGTGGTTTTGTGAGGCAGCAATTTCCGGTTTTTGCCTATGCCGCCATCTTGGTTTCTCTGTTTAAGTCTTTTGTCCATATTTTTATTGGGTTGTTTGATTGTGGCTGAGTTTTGATACTTCTGTGCATGTTCTAAAAACAGGTCCTTTGTCAAATATGTAATTTGTGAATATTGTGTTTGTTTGTTTTTTATTATTTTAATAAGTAAAAAAGAGCAGAAGTTTTCAGTTTTGATGAAGTATAAATTATCAACTTTTCCTTACTTTTAGTGTTGTATCTGAGAACTCTCTGACTAACCAAAACCGCAAAGATTTTTTTTCCTTTTTTTTCCCCCCTGAGAAGTGTTATAGTCTTATGTGTTACATTTAGGTCTATGATTCACTTGCAATTAATTTTTGCTTAAGGTATGAGAGATGCATCAAGGTTAATTTTATTGGCATTTAGGCATGTAATGTTCAGCAACATTTGTTTAAAAAAATCACCCATTATTTATTAAATCACCTTTGCATCTTTGTAAAAAAATCAATGATCATATTTTTATGAATCGCTTTCCATTTATCTATGTTCCTATCTACCCTTTTGCCAATATCATGCTATCTTGATTACTATATTTTTACAGTAATTCTTGGTATCAGGAGGTACAAGTCCAACTTTGTTCTTTTCAAAATTGTTTGGTCTAGTCTAGTTTCTTTGCTTTTCAGAATAAGTTTTAGAATGAACTTGTTACCTACAGAAGTCCTCCTGGGTTTTGATTTGGATTTTGTTAAATCTGTAGATCAGTTCAGGGAGAACTGACAGAAGGATGAGTTCTCTTGGGGTTTTAGGCGCTCATGCTGCCACAGCTACAGTGCAGCACCTGGACTAGGGGGCCATCTTCAGAGCAGGAGTGGAAAAAATAGGAAATGGAAAGGGATGACAAAATGGGCTATTCATGTAAAATTCCAATACTTTTAGAAATAGAACTGGTTCAGTCTGTTTTGGGATCAGGCCAAATTACTCAACTCCCCTGCATTTCAGATTTTAAAATAACATGAACTGATGGAATTAGAGGGACACATGGAGAGAGACTCAAATAATTAGACTATCTTCTGTAGAATGACATACTTTTCTTTCAAAAGCAGAAAGGTAATAGAAGGGGGAACTGGAGCAGTAAATGTGAGTGGAAATAGGACTTTCTAAGAAAAATTACAAAAGGCCAAAACCTATCTTGACAAACAGTGCTGAAGTTTTACGAAAACTGGGGAGCCCTAAATTGTTTCAGGAGTTTGGGCTCATAGCTGAGTGGGGTACAGTAGGAATACTTGAGCCCTTGGCTTTAAGTTGCCTTGAATTGGGAAATGGAAGTTGTAAAGCCCTAAGGGTTAAAATCAGGAGGCTTGGAGAAAGTTAAGGTGTTTACAAAGAAATACTATTAAAAATAAATGAGATTTTGTTTTGTGTTAACACATGTCAGCATTCAGCGTTCTCTTGACATAAAAGGCAAGAGCAATGATAGAATCAGAATAAAGATATTACCTCAATGTATTTTTCCCAACTTCAGAAATTAAAAACCACTTAAAAATATGATAGGATAGGTAACTGATATTAAGCTAACCAGCAAGGAAAAAAATGCTCCCTAGAGAAAAATTTATTAGGAACTAAGCTATAAGTCAAGGATAAAATAAGAATTAAAAAAGCATCTAACTATTCAGTATTTAATTAACTTACATTTATTAAACACACCACACCAATGTTTCAAGTACAAGCAGGAAAATTAATTCATGCTGCAAATCAAAAACTGCCCTTTTCCTCGATATTGGATCTTTATTTAATCAAGATTTTCCACCCACAATTTCTAGGCCAAGAACCCATGATAGAAGGGCAAAGAGAGAAGTTGAAGAAACATCTACATACTGCATGAAATAAAATGGGGAAACCATTTTTATGAATCTTGATAAGTGTAAAAGACAAATAACTGGGACTTTCCCAGAACTAACCAAAGACACAAATCTAGATTCAAAGAGCTGGGAAAAAAACCACACACAAACAAACCCCGAACAGGATTAATAAAAAAAATCTATATCCAGACACACAATAATTAAATTGCATAAAAGAAATGCAGATGAAGAGATTTCTCTGAAGATCTAATATTTAGCCTGACAGCTGACTAAACAGCAACAGGGGGAGTCATAAGAGAGTAGAAAAATATCTTCAACGTGCTGAAAGATAATAAACATCAAATTCGAATTTTACATTTAGCAAAAATATATTTGCAGAATGATGGCAAAATAAAGATTTTTCATACAAAAGAATCATGAGCAAATATGCCAGAGTAGTCTTTCACAAATTAAAACTCTGAAGGAAACATTCCCAATAGAAATGTATCCCAGATGACAAGCCTGAGTTACAAAACAGAATAAAGAGCAAAGAAAGTGATATTGTGTAGGTAAATAAAACATTGATTCTATAAGCAAAATAAAGTTTTGCAGAATTAAAAGATAACAGAATTAAAATGCATAACAGAAATAGAATATGACTATAGTATTCAAGTAGAAATTAGAGCATTATTCTAGTTATTACATCAGCATAATAAATAATCCCAAAACTTAGTTGCATAAACAATCCGTGTTCATGGATTTTTGTGGGTCAGGTAATTGGAAGGGCACAGCAAATCTGAAAGTTTTGCTTACAGTCTACAGCCATACCACCCTGAATGCACCCAATCTCGTCTGAAAGTTTTGCTTATTCATACGCCTGACACCTGATGATGGTAGTAGGTTGGGGCTGTTCTCTCCATGTGGGCTAGTTTAGGCTACCTCACAGCATGATGACTGGATTTCAAGGTTAAACTTTCAAAGAGGGAGTCAGCAAGCAAGAAAGGAAGAGCCAAGAGAAAGCCTCTATGACCTAACCTTGGAAATCATACAGTGCTACATATGCTGCATTCTGTTACACTGAGTGGCCAGATTATTATGACCGGCCAGATTATTATGACCACCCTATCAGTACTTTATTGAGCCACCTTTTGCCTTCAATATTGTGGTGATTCTTCTTGGCATTGACTCCGCGAGATGTTGAAAGGCGATGCGAGGAATCTGACACCATGCCTGATGAATAGCACTGTCCAGTTCTGTGAGATTTGATGATTGTGGAACCAGCTGCCTGATGGCTCTTTTAACTTTGTCCCACAAATGCTCAATTGGATTGAGATCTGGTGATTATGGGGGCCACCTAAGCAAGGTAAAGTCTCCCTCATGTTCTTGAAAGCACTCCTGCACAATACAAGCACCGTGGCATGGTGCATTGTCTTGTTGGAAGAAGCCATCTCCATTGGGATACACCATCAACATGATAGGATGAAGTTGATCAGCAATGATACTTAGGTATATTGTGCTATTCAGACGTTTATAATGATCTGGCCCTCTAGCAACTTCAGTGGGAAATTATAGCTAATTTGCCTACAAACATCAGGTGGTCATAATAATCTGGCCACTCAGTGTGTATTAGCTGAGGCAGTAAAAAAATTTTGTTTGGGTTCAAAGGAAGTTGAAATAGACTCTGTCTCTTGATGGGGGTTGGGAGTGTGTGACAAGCTTCTAGATGAGCATGTGAGATTGGAAATATTGCTGTGGCCATTTTCAGAAACTATAATAATCTGCAAAAAGGTAAAGACAATGACTCACTTTAGTCTTAATCTGTATATGCATGTTGTAAAATAAAGTAATTATCAAAAGACAAAAGCTACTAAACTAGTAAAGAAAAAAAGGTGTACAGCTTAGGAAAAGGGAAACTATATCATTTATATTAAGAAAGAATTTAACCTAAGGAATTGGTTAAATAGGTCTTGGTAGTACTGAAAATGTCAGCAAGGCACACAACACTAAAGGGCAGAGGGTGAGATTGTTAGAACTGGAAGCCGAGATGAGATACCCTGCAGAGTGCCAGAGAAGAGTTAGTGCCTAGAAGCCAACCACAACCACTGGCAGAAAAGCATGCTGACATCAGGAAGCAAATGGCAAGGGTAAAAGTAAAAGTCTCTTCTCCCTTTGTCCAGCATTCTAGTCACCTTCTAGAGCTATTTATGGAACCTAAAGGAAGCCTAATGGCAAAGGAAAAATGTACTTTCCAAAACTGCAGAATACCAAAGGGTGTCTAGAGTTGAGAGAATTGGCAATAAATGGAGTAAAGAAACTAAGTAAATACAAATTTTAAAAGGTAAGAAATTAGAGAAAAACAATCACCGAACAGAAAATCCCCATACAATATGGCAGAAATAAATCTATCAGTAATTACATGGAATATAAATGGCCTAAGTGTTCCAGTTAGAAGATAAAAATTATCAAATTGGATTTAAAAAGCCCCAAAATTCAAACTCTAGGCTGATATGAAGAAACACTATCTTAAAAAAAATCAAGAGTCAAAGAGGAACTCCTAATGAAAAATAGAAAATATTTTAAATATTAACAATAAATAAATAAATACACATACATACACAGGGTGGGGCAAAAGTGGTTTACAATTATTCATATGGAAAATAATACAATAATTAATAATAATACAAGAATAAACTATTTTTGCATACTTACAACCATAAGCCTACTTTTGTCACACCCTGCATATATATCAAAATTTGTGGAATGTGGCTACAACAGCGACTAGAGTATGATATAATGTAAGTATAAAATATTATAGTAATATAGAGATATTTATAACTTTTAAATGAATATGTTTGAAGATAGGCTGAAAACGAATGAAGTAAGCATTCATCTCAAGAAGTTAGAAAAAAAGAATAGTAAAAAAACCCTAAAGAAAATAGGAAAAAACTAAGCAATATTGATAAAAGCAGAAAATAATGGAAAAGAAAAGTAACATACAACAGAGAAGATTAACAAAAACAAAATTTGAATCTTAAAAAAAGACTAAATACTGTCCCTCTTTCAAGATTATATAGGTGGTCCAAAAGAATTTACAAATAATTATAAGAATCATTAGAGTTAGTAAGTTTCCAGATACAGAAGCAATACAAAGAAATCAATTATATTTTACACTAATTAACAGTTAAGAAATAAAGTGGCTAGGTAAATTTGGTTTAAAATTCTTATTTGAGAATATTTAAAGAAGTTGGACAAAATATATTTTAAAAATGTTGGGAAGGCATCAGAATTGTCAGTGAATAATTATCAGGCTAATATTTGGGAGAAATAGAACTTCATTAAGGTGAACCCTTTGTATGGGATCACTTGTTCCCTGAGAGCTTTGGAAAATTTGTAAGTAAGAGTCCACTGAGAAGCTGAGCACAGCTAAGGGGTAGGGATTCAAAGGTTGAGTCTAGTGCCAGCCAAGAGGTGGGGGCCCTATTAACCCCAGCCCACACTTTGCAACCCTTCTGGATTGTAGGAGTAAGGGTTAACAGGAAGAAAGAGCACTACTACAGTCTATAGTTCAGCTCTGAGTGACATGAATAACTCAGAAAAATCTCAGTTTCTAAAACTGGGTAAAAATAATCCCAAACTACTAGTGCCCAAGTATCTGGTAGAGCGTATGAAAAAATTCTGTGGAGGATGAAAATGATCATGCTGGGCATCAAATTATTTCTACAATTTTTTCAAATATAGTGTTGGCATACATTAAAAAATAGAAAGACACACAAAAATATAAGAAATGAGGATTGGCAGAAACAAAAGAAAAATAAAAACAAGACCAAGAGAATTTCAGTTTTGGGAATTATTAAACACAGACTATAAAATAATGGTTTTCATGTTCAGGTAGATAAAAGACTGAAAATTACAGCAAGACAATTGGAAACTGTAAGAGTGACAGATTTCCATATTTGCAAATAGAAATTTGAGAAGTGAAAATACAAAGAGCTAAGAATAGCCAAGACAGTCTTACAGAACAACAAGGACTAGTTCTGCCAAATATAAAAAACAATATATTTGTTATAGTGATGAAGACAATAGATAGCACAAGTATAGAAAAGGAGCCAAAAAATTCAGAAACATATATGGATAGACATATACACAGAGCAGGGCAAAAGTAGGTTTACAGTTGCTTGTATGAAAAAATAATACAATAATTAATAAGTAATAATACAAAAATAAACTGTGTTTCATGTATGCATAGTTGAGAAACAGGACATCTCTACTGCTCAGGAAAAACTGTTATTATCTAATAAGATTTAAGATATAAATACCCTATGACAAAGCAATCCTATTCCTAAGTTATACCTGCACTAGGAGATACATATAATAATGTTCATTGGGAACTGTGATTGCCCCAAACTAAAAACATCAGAATTGTCTGCAGTCAATAGAATGAATAAATTGTGGTATGTTATTGCAAAGTTAAATTATACAACAATGATGATGAATGAAGTATAGCTACAGGCAACAACATGAATGAATCCCTTGTTCAATGAAAGAAGCAGCCAAGAAGAATACACTATGGTTCCACTTACATAAAAGTTCAAAACCATCAAAAAGTATAAATGGCATTAAGTGCGGACATAGGTGGTAACACTAAAAAGAATTAAAAATGACATAGTTATCACAGGAACTAGGGTAGTATTATTGCCAGAAGCTATGTGGGGAGAAGCTGGTTGATTTGGAAGGGACTACAAGGGGAGTTTCTGGGCTGCTGTAAGTGTTCTAATGATTTGAGAGCTGGTGATACAAATAGCTATCTTAAAATGATTCCTTAAACTGTGTATTTTATATTTTATGTACTCTTTTGAATTTATTTTTTGAATATTTGTTTCTCAATTAAAAAACAAAGACAGGCCCTAACTGGTTTGGCTCAGTGGATAGAGCGTCGGCCTTTGGACTGAAGGGTGCCAGGTTCTATTCCGGTCAAGGGCATATACCTTGGTTGCGGGCACATTCCCAGCAGGGGATGTGCAGGAGGCAGCTGATCGATGTTTCTCTCTCATCAATGTTTCTAACTCTCTATCCTTCTCCCTTCCTCTCTGTGAATATCAATAAAGATATCCTATCTAATAAAAGAGAAACATGCAAATTGACCATACCCCCAAATGCTTCCCATTGGCTAATCAGCAGGATATGCAAATTAACT